ACGTGACCAGAAAGCTGACTAAGCTAACAGAATGGCTCATTATGGCATTGGGGAAGAATATCACAGACAGGATGAACAGTAAATGTAAAAGGCTCTATTGAAGAGACATGCTTGGCATGTTCAGGGGAGAGGAAATGAGCTCAGAATACTGCTAGGTGATGGAGGAGTCAGAACATAGAGGGCCTTTTACTATGAGGGATACATATTATTCTAAATGAAATGAGAAGAAATTTGTAGGGCTTTGAGTAGGATAGTCAATAATCATATTACCATTTTAAAAGGATCACTCTGCCTTTTATATAAGGAAGATACTGGAAAGGAATAAGATGGATGCACAGAGGCTAGGAGGAGGCTGTTATAGAAGTGTAAGATAAGAGTGATGATCACTTAGTTACCATTAGTCATGGTTTGGCTAGGACTTACGGATTCCCCAGTAGTTATATCTACTACAGTGATATCCCTAAGAATGGGGAGAGGTAGTCAAATTCAAAATATATTCTGAAGGTCAAGGAAGCAATAAATATCTTCCAGAAAAAAAATATCTGGACCACTAAAGTAAAGGAAAAGAACAGAGCTTCTTAGAAGTCAGGAAGAGGAGTGTGAACCTTTCAAACATTAGCTTTGCATTAGTATGCATCCTGCAATGGACTTTGAAGAGACTAAAACTAAAAAGGTCTTTCATCAAACCATTTCAAAAGATATGCCAGGAGTGGTTGGGGCTTGATCTCAAACAACATGGGGCTGATAGTGAGAATGCAGCTGAAGATGACAGAGGTGGTGGTGACGGTGGTGTTGAGGTCATGGTGAAGGGTAGTGAAGGTATAAGATTAGTGGTGATGATGGCAAATACATACAGACATGGAGGTCATATTGGAAGTGAAGGTCAATGAAGTTGTTAAGGTAGAAATTCTATTGACGATGAAAGAAAAATGAAATGAAAGGGAAAAATCCCACCTGAGACACATTCACAGAGAAAGAAAGGTCAAGAAATGTGGGTTACATAAGTGGAGGAAAACAAAGAGAGGAGAGCTGGCCACTAGTAACAGATTAGTTAGTGACCTTGGCAGAAAGGGATGTTAGAAAGGTAAGGGGAATACTTGGTGTTGAACATCAATTTATTTAAAGACATAATGAACTTAGAGTGGAATATCCAAGTGGACTTTCAGTTGGACTATTAGTTACTATCATTCCATGTGACCATTTAGTAGTAAAGAAAACATAATTTTATGTCAAAAGCCTTACTTTGGTTCCTAAGACCATTTATGCAACTTTCTATAACCTCTGACTCTCAAAGTCCTTATTTATAAAATGACACAATAGCACTTACTTCAAAGGGCCATTATAGAAAAAAAAAATAGAACTGTTAAGGAGCAACATGGATTTAAGATGCAGATATGAGTATTACCTTAGTCACTTTTTGTTGCAGTGAACAAAATACCTGAGAAAATCCACATAAAAGGAGGAAAATTTATTTGGGCTCATAATTTCAGATGCTTCAGTCCATGAGGCAGCTGGCTACATTGCTTTCAAGCCCCTGTTAAGATAGAACATCCTGGCTGCAGAAGAATGTGACAAAAAGAGGATGCTCACCTCATGGTAGCCATGAAACAGAGAGAAAGAGATGGGAAGGGGCCAGGAACAAGATACACCCTTCAAAGGCATCACCCAGTGACCTCCTTCCTCCAACCTGGACCCACCTCCTTGTTTCTACCACTTCCCATAATGCCACCAAATTATGACTCCATCAATGGATTAATTCATTCATTAGGTCAGAATCACTTCTCAATGATTGGCTTGAGGTCAGCTTTTCAATGGGTTAGTTTTTGGGGGGATATTTCATATCTCAACTATAACAGACATCTTCTTTTTTTTCTTCTAAGTTTTCTAAGAGCCATTTTTGCTCCCTATGACCATAACCTCAAAAAAATTTTTGTAATTTAGAAAATCTTGGTTTCTCAAACTTTGGAGTGATAAATGCTTAAAATTAAATGTTTACATATTACCACCCAATCATCTTTCTTTCAAACTTACATGTAAAATTATCAAATAAGCAGTTGCTATAAAACTATCAGGTCATTCTGAATCTTCTATGTGAATTAAGAGACACAGTAAAACCTTCACATGCCAGAATGAGACTGTAGGACAGAGGTGCTTTTCATAATCACAGAAATGAAAGACTTCATTAAGGAAAAGAAAATATTTGTTTCCAACAATTCATAAGGGTGCAAGTCCCAAGATTCAGAGGCAACAACACTGGTTTACCACATAGGCCCTAGATAGCAGCCATGTTCAAACAGGGCAGAATAGAGCATATATTCAGGGGATAACAAGGCAGTCTAGAGTCCTGTCATGCATGTCTTTCCTATCGGTAGTTCAAGGAATCCCCATGAGGCAGATTCTGGCTCTTTCTTTTTTGATGGGAATGGGGTTTGAACTCAGGGCTTCACAGTTGCAAAGCAGGTGTTTTATCATTTGAGCCACACCTCCATTTTTTGCTCTGGTTTTTATAGAAATGGGGGGGGTCTCACCAACTATTTGCCCAGGCTGGCCCTGAATGCCAATCCTCCCCACCTCAGCCTCCCAGGTAGCTAAGATTACAGTCATCAGCCACTTGAGCCTGGCAAAAATATTCATTTTTTAAAAAAACACTCACTCTTTTTTTCAATCTCATAGATTTAAAATACAGGTAATTTCACATATTCCTCTTTCTGAAGCCATGGTATTTCAAATTCTATATATGCTCTCTTTGAAGCTAAGTATTATATAGAATCATTAAATTTCCCTATATAAGATCAAAGAGTAAAATGATACTGGAATAAAAATAAGTTGTTTCTTGTTTTAAAATAATTGAGATGTTGTCAAGTTTCTCAAGGAGTCAGATAAAGAGCCATCAGGGGACATATGGTCTAAGGAGAGCATGGTCATGTCTTACATGCCTATTAGAACAGTGAGAGTAACACAGCAAGCTTCCCAAAGAGGCCATCGTGGAAAGTACCCCCTCCACAAAGAACCCCCTGCTAATAAGCATCTTTAGCAGCAATTTTATCTTATTTTATTTTATTGTTAATTATTTGTACATTTATTCATATGTGTATACATTGTTTGGGCCACCTCTCCCCACTGCCCCACAATTCCCCTTACCCCCCTCCCTTCTAGGCAGAACCAGTTCCACCCTCTTGTTCTCAAATTTTGTTGAAGAGAAAACATAAGAGATAATAAGAAAGACAGCATTTTTGCTAGCTTGAGATAAAGATAGCTATACAGAGAGATTCCTAGCATTGCTTCCATGCACATGTGTATGGAATTGGTTCATCTCTACCAGACCTCTTCACTACTTCCCAGTCACCTTCCCATAGTGGCCTCTGTCAGTCTAAGATTACTTTATTCACTCCTCTATTGTGAGCAGATCAAACACTTTCAAGTTTTAGGTTTCCTTTCCTTTCCCTATTTCTCCTGTGCACAGTCTCCTCTTAGTGTGTGACCCATGTCCTATAATATTACTGCATTTGTTTTAGGTCTAAAGTCTACATATGAGGGAGAACATACAATTTTTGGCCTTCTGAGCCTGGCTAACTTTGTTTAAGATGATGTTGTCCAGTTCCATCCATTTACTTGCAAATGACAAAATTTCATTCATCCTTGTGGCTGAGTAAAATTCCATTGTGTATAAATTTTCTTAATCCATTCATCTGTAGTTGGGCATCTTGGCTGTTTCCATAACTTGGCTGTTGTGAATAGCAGCAGCAATTTTATTAATTTACATTTTTCTTGTCTCATAAAGTTCAAGATGCATTTGACTATATTTTGTATTAATTTCTATAATACCCACTCTCTACTCTGTATTTTTAGAAACTAATAGTAATGTATTCCACTACTCTCCTGATGTGTAAATTAAAGGGTAGGGGTAAGTAAGTACATTTGGTGAATTTTGCACATTATAAGTAACTCTCTAATGTCTACATTAATGGAAGGGAGCTATGACCTTGGTAATTCAAAGCAAGGATAACAGGTTTTGCCTATCTACGTTTTGAAAAGGTGTGGAAAGTGATATCCAGGCAAGGACCCTCCAGGAGGGTACCACCATGTGGAAGGATTAAGGCATGTACACAGTAAGACAAATACAGAGTTCCTGGTAACACAGAGGCACGTTATGGGGACTCAAGAAGTGGGGTTATAAACACACACAATGTTCTTTCCAATAGAGGCATTATTTAAACAGAAACAGGCATCAGTCTCTCTCTCTCTCTCTCTCTCTCTCTCCCCCCTCTCTCTTTCACATACACACATGCTCAAACATGTACCTGTACATGTACACACACAAATGCAATGTTCAGTGGTATTTGGGCCAAAATATGGCACTAATGAAATAATGTGAGGAAGTGTGTGAGGCCTGCCCTTGTATTACTGTTTCAATCTTTATAAATTTTAGGATAAGGAATAAGAAAGACTGAAATTTACAAAAGTAAAAGGTCAAAAACTTACACTGTGGTGCATTTTAGCTATTAAGAATTTGGAATTTTTAATAAATAAATAGAACTTAATGGAAGAAAACTTCCTATCCTCCCCCCAAAATAAAAAACCTTAACCATAGAATATTAGATCTAATCCTATTTCAAATGGAAAAAAAAGACAAAAACTTAGATAGCTTGATTCTAATTTTAAAAAAAAGTGTTGTCTTTTTCAAAGCTTTTTCATAAGTTATGAGATTTTGCTGAGAGTTTTGCAGTGCTATTCAGTGCAGAATCTCAGAAAGTCATCTTGATCGTATTTCCGAAGCCATTGAATTACAGATGCGTGATGTTGGATGTGAAGGTATAAATGATCTTTTTCAAAAACAGTGTTGCTCTTCATGATAGCCCATCTGTAAATTCCAATGAACCCAAAAGTATTCAGATTCCAGTTGTCATAACCCTCTTCTTGAAGAATTTATACTATATATGTACAAACTATATTCACCTTTATTTGAAAAACTTAATAATACCTTTTTATGGTTTTTATAGCAAGAGAAATTGGGTGACATCTGCTTCTCCCTCCGCTATGTTCCCACTGCTGGAAAACTGACCGTTGTCATTCTGGAGGCAAAGAACCTGAAGAAGATGGATGTGGGTGGCTTATCTGGTAAGTGCATGGTGATTATTGACTTTTTCAGTGCGGTTTTATCATGGAAACCAAATGCATAGCTCACACGCTGTGACTCCACACTCCTTAATTGATCACAGTGCTCTTGCCTACAAAGCCTGGAGGCAGTTTCAGAATTCATCCAATGCAGTGCCCCAGGAAGCCAGTCTCAGTTTATTGGAATTGGCATAGAAGACAAAATATATTTTCTTTTCTCATAGCCAAAGGATCAATCATCATTTCTATGTTATTGAAAGCTGAAAATTTTTGCTTCTTGTCTGAAAGGCAATTTCTGTGACATATTATAGGTTTCAGGGGGTTTTTATAATCAAAATTCACATATTATAACATGATATGAAAAGTGCTTTATCTGAGACTTATTTATTAGGTATTTAATAGCCTAACTTAATTTTATAATACCACTTTACTAAAGACTCAGCATTTCAAATACCTACAAATAATATTCTGTTTGAGAGTAAACCCCCATGTAATCTGATTAATTCTTAGAACTGGCATTGAGAAAGGGGAACTTTTGAATTAAAATTTTTGCACAATCCAGCCATGACAAAATATAGTGAGTAAAGAATACCCTTGCTCAAAAGCAAAGTCAACTCAAGGACTTGTCACTTCGATGGTTGAACATAATTTTTTTCCTCCTGTGTGATTAAATCAATTATATTTTTAATGTTCCAGTAAATTGTTAAAGTATGAGGAATTTTCTTGGTATGCCACAAGGTCATCACCAACAGACTGCAGTTGTCATTGTTTACAGCTGTGGAATTACAATGGACATTACTCATTCAATGCTTTCACTAATAAAAATATTGCAAATGTAAAAGGTCACACGAATGCAGCATGGTGATTTTATATTCTAAAGCATAACATCTAAAAAAATGCTAAAGCTCAGTTCCACTTACTAATTTCTCTAACAAGTACTCCTGGTGGCCGAGTTTATTTCTCTTTACAAACAAGGGACCTGGGAAGTTTCACTAATTCCTTTATATCACTAAAACTCTATTTAATAATTTCCTACTTTCATTGCTAGTAATATAAAAGAGCAAAGTTAAACCGATGAGCATAATTTCCTTCTAAAATATAAAGAATATTTAACAAGCCTATGGGTAAAAATACACAGAGAGAATTTTACAATAGTAATTCACTTCCAGAATACTACTTAGTATCCTGAGGTAACTTCAGACACCTTTGACCTTTTTTCTTTCCTGTGGTTCCACAGCCATTTGCCATTAGTGATTCGTTTTGTATCTACTCTCCATTCCAAACCTCCAGGGCACCATCCCTTCATCACCTATGTCCAACAACTACTGTAGTCTTCCTCCTATTTCATTCTGTTGCCTTCAGCAAAAGTCCAGAGCAGCTTTAACATGAAGCCAATAAAGCTTCAGGGCCCACTTACTTGTTCTGGCTTCTTTCAAGGCCCCTGGAACTAAAGCAGATACCTTAAAAGCAACTGAGGCCAATAGGAAAAGGGGACCAGGAACTAGAGAAAAGGTTAGATCAAAAAGAATTAATTTAGAAGGTAACACACACACACAGGAAATTAATGTGAGTCAACTCCCTGTATAGCTATCCTTATCTCAACTAACAAAAACCCTTGGTCCTTCCTATTATTGCTTATACTCTCTCTTCAACAAAATTAGAGATAAGGGCAAAATAGTTTCTGCCAGGTATTGAGGGGGTGAGGGGGAGAGGGAGGGGGCGGAGTGGGTGGTAAGGGAGGGGGTGGGGGCAGGGGGGAGAAATGACCCAAGCATTGTATGCACATATGAATAATAAAACAATAAAAAAAAAAAGGCCCCTGGTAAGAGTTCCCACTGTCATAGACAGATACTTCAACCACCTTTGCTAATCACAGTTTGCTGTCTCTACTCTGACTTCTTTGCCATCCATCCCTTCTCATTCAGTGATCAGAGATACTGCAGGCACTTTCAGGACTTTGCTCAGAGAAACTTGGATATATTTGAGTGGCTTACAGTCATAGCCAAGTACAGAAGCTTGCTGCTAGCCATTCCAGTGAAGTAAGAGCTGCTGGGATGACTCCTGCCATCCACTAGACTAACTCAGTATTATTATTATGACATAAAAGGGGTAAAGGCCAAAGGTCAGAACTAATTAAGAATTCACTACTTTATATCTCTCTTTTTTAAAGAAAAGCAAAAAAATTAGTAGTTTCAGAATCCATACAAGCTAGGTCCACCCCCATGCTTGAATTATATGAAATGATTTTAATTATTAAATAAGGGTACTTACAGCATAAAGTTCTTTAAGAAAATCTGATTTTAAGAGCTTACTGCTGCCAGTTGAATTAATTACTCACTCTAATCACATTATGTAGATTGTCTCAGACTATGGTATACCGTATCTCATTTTAACCAAAGGACCAGCACGCTCTTCTCCAAGTGGACTGTGCAACTTGTGCCTCCATTCTTTGCTTAAGTGATTTTTTTTATGTGGAATTCCCTTTCTTCCAATAATGTTAGCTAACCCCACTCATTATTTAGACCCCCTCAACAAATGTGTATCATGGTCCCACTTTGAGTCAGGAAATCATACTGAGGTTCCCCATTACTGGAAAAAGCAGTCAAAAAAAAGAGACCCTGCCTTCCTGGAGCTTGCATTGTAATGTGGAAAACAGCAATGAAAAAGCAAATATTTCACCAAGAGGTGATGAGTGCTAAGGAGAAGTGAAATAGGGAAGTAGAATAAGGAATATTAAGGGTGGTCAGGGAAGACCTCATGAATAGGTAGGTGACTGTCCAGACAACAACCTGGAGTTGGTGAGGAAGCAAGCCATGGGGTCACATGGAGTGAAAGAAGGTTGTAGGTGATGGAACACTGATGCCTTTTCTGATCCATCCCAGCAGAACAAATCTTTGCCTTTTTTAAATGCACTTGCAGTTTGTTTAACTCCCCAAACATCACACTTCTCTCTCACTAGACTGTGTTCTGTATTTATGTCTCCCACATGCTATCACTGACAGGTAGCACCGAGCATAGCTGCTGAATGAATAATGAATTATTTACAAAGAAGCTATGACCTGAAAAAAACAAGTCTGGCATTTCAAATTTGTCTAACCTACTTACCATTAAAACAACTTTAAGCATTTGGATGACCTGTCTCAAAGTAAGCTGACCTATGTTACAAAGAGACCAAAAGGATATAAGGTCACTCTAGGTGATTCAAATGTCAAGCTACTTTTGCTGGAAATGGCTAGTTAATTGAAACGCCAGTGGGCTGTTTTGCCAAGGTCTAAACCCCACTCTGCTACCACCAGCAATTTGACATTGGACAGGTTATTTAGCACTTCTTAGCCTCAGTTGAATTATCTATAAAATAGAAGTAGTAAGAAAATCTTGTTAATGAGTTCATTGTGAGAAAAAAGTGAGAACACAGCCTGGAACAACTAAATGCTCACTGAATATCATTGTAAGTATTTCTACTAGTAACTTTATCAAATCTTTTAATAAAAAAGGTAAAATGTTATAGAAGGCTTAAACAATTGCTTGATTCAGTGGGGGAGCGGACGTTCAACTGCTTGATAGAATTGACTGATCAGTTCAGGTCAATCAGTAGACCCATGTTTTGCACAGACCCGATTGTGAATTAAGACAAGGTAAAGAATTAATAAAAAGAAAATAAGGAATGGAAATTTTCTAATTAATTTTCTCTTACAACTCTCTGATAGGGTCAATCAGTTTATTTCCTTCCTAGTATGCAAATTCAAAAGGTACTGCACAAAGGTTGTGCGGCTATCATGTACACATACAGAAAATGGTGAAAATTCAGTTTTCATATTCCACAATGACAAGTTCTCTTGGCCTGTTCAAATCTCTACAGCAGATTCTTGTGTTTGCATTCTTAATATTCCATCTCCATATCCAGGGGGATATTTAAATTTACCTATGTGTATCAAGATCCTGAATCTTTCAGGCAGCATGACTGTTCTTCAGAAACAAGTTTTTATAGTAGAGTAAGTCTTTTTGCCTGATATTTAGAGAAAATTAAGTCTTGTGTCTAGTAAACAACATCTAGTATCTTCTCATCTTCACTGCTTTTTATACATCTGTGTGATAGGAATAAATCTCCGCTCAGATAATAAAAAGATAAGGATTTTCTGTTTTTGCAAATTGTGAAAGAGAGGCCTAGGAAAGTGAAGGCATTGGAAAAGTTGAGAATTCTCAAAGGCAAGAGAGTGTATGTCTCATAGTTTTGAACCACATTATAATGTTTTTATACTCAAATTTCTATGTGCATAGACTCCCAAATCAAAGAGTAATCAGATACTTTGTTCCTAAGTTTAACTCCTGACCCTATTTATGTAACAGTAATTAATTTCCTCCTTCTTTTTAAAATTTATTGTTGCTCAGTTTGGTTTAGGTTGGATTTTCTTGGTCATCTCAGAAATTTGAGATTTCTGAATACAGCTTTTTTTTTTTAATCATTTCTCAACAGAGCTTTAATGAGGAATGTCAAGACTATAGTTCAGTTTGGGTGATCTATCACAAATTAAATGAAATTCTCAAGCTTTCTATTTGAGAGCATAGCTATTTAAAGAAGAAAAGCCTAAACTTCTGACTCAGTGAAATGGAAGTGATTAGGTAGAAATTTACTTACTTTCAATTTAAATCTGAGAATTATTTTTAACTGTTAAAAAGTCACATTAGTTATAGGACTTTTCTAATGTAGAAATCCATTCCTAACTTGGTCTTCATGTGGTTATCATGATAGTCCTGAGATGTATGTGATAGACATCTTTCCATTGCTATGACAAATAGCTGAGAAGACTACCCTAAAAGGAGGAAAGATTTATATGGCTCACAATTTTAGAGGTTTTCAGTTCATGTTCACCGGGCTCCATTGTTTTTAGTTCATGGTCACCAGGCTGCACTGTTTCCGGTCATCATGGTGGGAAGCGTATAGCAAAGTTCCTTACTTTATGGTCACTGGGAAGCAGAGAGCTAGGAAGAAGCCAGGAACAAAG